AGTTTATAAATTTAAAAAGTTTACAAGTCCAGCTCATCCAGATACATACTTTTGGATAGCCGATATTGCCTTCTGCCTAATTCAATCTACCTCGTCAATGATTTGAGCGTCGGCTGCATCTATTCCAGGGATTATTTTCAGAGATTTTGTCAGATTGGCTAAATGCTTGATGGATGCCTTCAACTTGGATCTTTGATCTTCTGTAGCTTTTGGCATATCGACAATTTTTTGTTCCTCAATTGCAATCTGGGCATTACATTGTTCTAGTTCAGCCAAGAGTTCTATTTTTCTGGCCTGTAGCCGATCAATATTGGCCTGAATAGAACTTGGACCAGCTTCTAGTCCATTAAGTTTAGCTTTCTCTTCATTGATCGAAGTTCTACTGGCTCGAATTGTGGCCTCAAGATCCTTTCTCTCACGACGATCAGCAATCCTTTGTTTAGCCTTCTCAAGCTTGAGCCGATGTTGTTCAAGATATGCTGCTGGAGTTATGGCATCGGCTAGCTCATCTGGAATTCTGTCATGGATCTTAAGAAACCTGTCTCTGACAGACCCACAACTGGCCACTAGGGTTTCTAGAGAACCTTCAAGCATGGTCGAGATGTCCAGCAGGATGGACTTGACGTCATCGGCTAAGGGTGCCAAAGCTTTGCTCGTGGTGTCTTCTTCCTGATCTAGAAACTATCTAATGTCAAAAGAGAACATATCGGCTAAGGCCTGAAAAGGGATCAAACATTATTCAAAGGTAACATAACAGCCGATATGACTTTAGGATTTAAGATAGGCACTTACAGGGATAGCTGGAGCCGATGCTACTTCTTCTTCTTCCTCCACATGATGGCTTCCTGCAGTCAATGGGGTGTGTACACTCGATTTGGGAATAGGAGTTGCAGGACGAGGAGGCTGAGAAAGGTTAAGTGCAAGTTAGCATCGGTTGTTTAGATAAAGCATGAAGGTATAAGGATTCTTACCGATGGAGCTGGTGCTGGTGGTTTCTTAGAAGCTAACTTCTTCTGCAAGGGTATAATATATCAGGAATCAGCATTACATATTAAAATAATAGATGAACAAATAATGTATGCATACCCTTGGTTTGTAAGTATGGCGTACTGGTGGTGATGGTGTTATCTGAGGAGCAGGAGGATCGGCTAGAGGTGTTTTCTCTCCTATTTCACTCAGATTTTCAGCTGCTTCATTCACAGCTTCTTCCAGTTCTTCACCCTCCAGGAATTCTTCCACATCTGGGTTCTATGGCTGGCAGATCATCGGTTGTAGCTTTTTGTTTCTTGGGTTTCTTCTTTACAATCGATGGTGCAGCAGCCGATTTAGTCTTCCTCTTTTTGCCAGCATCAGGTGCAATCGGCAGACGCAGCAGACCATGCAATAGAGTAGAGGTCTTGGGGGCATGGTAGCCGATAACTGGAGGACTTAAGCCGCCGCTGTTTGCAAGAAAACCTGGTGCATATTTAATTTCTACACCACTTTTGCTGTGATGGGGAGGAGAAGATTCTGTTGCCTGAAAAATATATAAAGCTCAAAATTAGAATTGATGCATCGACTTGCAATTGATAAAATTGACAAAAATAAGATACTTACTTGAGGGACAGCTTTGGGGAACAGATCTATAAGGTACATCGAAGCCGATTGGTGAAACAAGTGTTTCTTCCATTCAATCCACCATCGGTCAAAGGTTGTGCTCCTCAACATCCTTAGCTTGATCTGATCAATAGTGCCCAGAGGTGGTCCAGGTATATTTAGCAGCCGATCCATCATGAGTGCCAATGTGATTTCTCCTCTGCATTAGATTTTATCAGCAAAGAACAAGCTTATCGGCAGCTGGCCCATACCCAATTGTCTTGCAGCACTTGTCGGATGATAGAATTCATAAGTTACTTGGATGTTTTTGCCTTGATGGATACCGACCGGAAATATGCAAGGGCTGATGGCTGTTGAAAACAATTCTCTAGATTTGTCATATTTTTCGGAATTTATTTCATCAAACCGAAAATCACCTGGCATATCAAAGGAACCAGATCCTTCATATGCAAACTAGATCCTAGTATTCCTTGGAAATCCATCATAGAATTTATTGAACCATTCTCTAAAAAGTTCAGCCGATAGCTTGGATCCAGCATAGGTAGAAGTTGCTTCTCCAAAAGACATGCATCGGCATGTATTGATTTCTTTTCCATCATCGCCGATGATCGGCTCAAACCTTGGGAAGCTGACATCTGTTAGTAGTGGCCGATTGGCAATCATCCAGGTGTGCAAGTTTAACCAAATTTGAAGTAGCCACCAAGGACCTCCTGTACCGATTGATAATCCAGATGCCATCTTGGTTATTGTGGTATTCAGAGTCTGATACATATATCCAAGTAGATATTTCCCAAGGGGGAATTGTTTCTTCTCTACCAAAATTTCGGCTATGTGTTGCCAATTTGCAATAGGATCACAGCTCGGACCACAGAACAGAAATTTTTCAAGCCACATCATGAGGAAGGCTACATGTTCTCGTGTATAAATCGGCCCAGTACCCATGTTCTTTGCAACATAGCTTGTCCAGCCACCTATGCTCCTGGTTTTGAACCCAAAGGTGGGTTTAGTGTTCAAACTAACTGGGTTAGCCGATGATGTAATATCTAAATCAGTTATTATGGTAACATCCAGGAGAGTGGGGGTCATTGGTCCTTGAGAAAAGAGGAAAACATTCATGGCTGTGGACCAAAAATAGGAGGTAGCTACCATCATGAGTTCATATTCGGCCATATCTGCTGCAATAAGGGCCAAGGCTTGGGATATGCCGATTTCTTCCTAATGGGTCAATTTACAGGCTGACATCCTCATGTACCAGGCAGGCCAGCTCTTTTTAGGCGATGGCCAAGATTTGAAAGTGTTCTTCCAAAGACCTAAGTTGGGATTGGTGAATCTAAAGGGGATTCGGTTGGTTTCACCATTAATAAACTCTATGGGGTCTAAGTTGCCGATTGGGCCAAGGAAAAACTGGTATTCATCAGTTATATTAGGAATTGCAACCTGGTGAGAGAGATGCTACAGAGGAAAGAAAATTGAAGATTGAGCAGAAGAAAAACCAATCTTGTGCGGTAAGAGAAGAGATTTAGCCGATGGGACTTACCTCGATGTACTCAGCAGCAGGTGCGTCCGATGGGTTGGCAGAGGTTGACATTGTTGTGGCAAGGATTGGCGATGTGAAGGAATCGCAGGAGATCGCCTTTAGGTCGCCGAAAAACTCGAAGGTGTCGCCGGAGAGCTTGATGAAAGGATTGGGGAAAGTTTTTTGCTAGAGCGGTTAAAATGGAGCTGACACCATGAAACGGGCAAAGCAGTGGTTACTATTTAAAAGAGCGTGCGGTAACGGCCAAAACGAGATCGGCGTCGGAAATCCTAGTTTTACTCAGAAAAGGAGATTGAGCAAATCCGCAACATTAATAATATAGCGGACTTGGGGGCATGTGTTGACAACCAAATTTGGTAAGATACAAAACCAGGTCCAGCATTGGAGTCAAAGTGGATTCGGCAAACAATTAGATTCGAAGAACAGAGTCTGAATCGGCTGTGAAGGCATCGGCTAGAGTCTGTATCGGCTGAGATGGATCAGACAGAGGGCAGCCGATATAACTGATACTACCGATATAGCCGATTCTAGCGAGATCAGTTACGGAGCTGCTTCTAGAATCGATTAGCGTGCTTCACAATGATTGCCACGATGTAGATAAGCTCTCAGATAGGCAATTGTATCTATTAATTAGGATATTTTGTGTAATTTCCTTATAGATATATTTGAGCAAAAGTCTGCCGTAAAGACTTATGTATCTTAGAGTTTGTTAGAGATAAGAGTCGTGTCTGGCAAGGACATCTTATGTATTTTGGGTATAAATATGACCCGAACCCATGTAATCAAACAACAACAATTCAATAACACTCTTGGCGCATCGCCACCCTTTTTACTTTCATTTTTTTTAGACGAGTTCTTGCTTTTGGGTTGAGCTGCATCGATTCCGATCTTCAACTAGAGGTAAAACTTATTATGGCGGTTTGTGTTATCGAGATTAGTGCTTCCATATTTATAACACTCTAATCTTGTTTACGTAATTCGTCGAGTTATCATATATACTTTATAATCTTTATTAGTTTCACGATCTAATTCACGATCTATCATTAATCTAGATTATATTGTGTATCCACCATCTCTTAGAGGTTTTCATCATCTTGTCTAGATCTTATACTTATTTTAATGCTTAATGCTGCATCGGTTAGGTTCGATCTATTAAGTAATATTTATATAGTATCGGAGTTTCAGCTGATCTTACCTGATTTAGTTACTTTACCTCATATGCTTGATTGTCATGCTAAATCTGCCCTTTATATTAAGATCTTATCGCATTAGGATATATTAGACTTTCTATTTGGTGTGTCTTGCTTGTAATATAGAGTGGTATCGGAGTATTAGCCGATACATGCTAGATCTATTTGATCGGCTATGCTATAAACATCTATATAATCATTGCTTTAATGCATATTTCAACTTAAGTGATTTATACTGTCTCGGCATGGCGGCCGATCTATCCCAATCACTTAGTTTAATCACTTAGTTTGTGTTTTTCGTATCAACACTTCTCTAATTTTTCTATGGCGGTTTTTCTCTTCCAACGTCAAAATTCTTCACGGTGATCCTTGAATTTTATGCAATTAACATATATCACCTCAACCCCAACTCCATCCTCCACATTGCCAATTTCATCCATGTTTGTGAAGCTTTCCTGGGCATTCGGCAGCCCTTTGCATTATTTCACAGAATCTTCTTCTTGAAGGCGCAGCCCAACAAAAATAAGCCTTGTATTGTTGGGGGATCTGGTTTTCAACTTCGTGGCACCCTATGTCAGAAGTACTTCTGTAACACCCCAGAAAACCACCTAAGCCTGGGATGCCACTAAACAACCTCACATAAGTGCCAAAACAAGCAAATTTCGGCAACAACTACCTTAGACAAGAAAACATCGCGGAAGCATCAACATATAGATTAAGGTTATGATACAACAAATGACTGACATGTAGGGATAGGCTTGAAAAAGTGGCTAATCAATGGCCAACAACTCTAGTATTTAATTAACCCATTATGTCTAAACACAAATATTCTTATCAAGATATTACAATAATCATGACTAAGTGAGATCATGTCGTGCGACTGTGTAGCTAATCCCATCCCTTCATGCAAACATGTCACAGCAAGTACCTGAAAAGACTATAATGGGGTGAGAATAAATCTCAGCAAGCAAACAGCTTTAACAAGCTATTTAAACCACATGTTTATTATATAAATAATTTAAATACCAAGTTATGATTCACATAAAGACAAGTTCAAAATCCAAGGAACTAAAACATCATAGCGTCACCAATCAAATCCATATACTCACAAATCCCAGAGAAGAAAACACTTCTCAAAGACATCTTCGATCAATAATTTTCATAACGTCCCGCAATATGTGCATATGCAATGCAATGATATGTACTCATGCCTTCACAACCAACAAGGTGTGAAGCTGCATCTTATTACGACAATATACGATGATGTACCGGTACGGTCGCAACCATAGGTTCACGACATAACTTCAAATGCAATGCAAGTGATGCAAATGCAGTATGAATTCTAGAGTATAACATCGGAACCACATTCCTTCGATGGAGATCAGTATAAGGTTATTATAACCAAGAGCATAAAGTATAACTATAAACAGCGTAAAATCAATAAGTATGATTCAGATAGGTAAATCCTCCGTGTAATATATAATAATCTTGGTTGATGATATATAATTTCAACGTGGAGGTAGAATCAAATAACAAGTCAAAGCTGTAGCAAACCACCGCTATGTTTACTTGCCTTCACCGATGATGAGATGAACTCTAGTTGCATTCCGAAGTGGCATCACCTGAATAAACACCGGCTCAGACTCAAACAACATGCATAATCATTCAAGAAACACACATACGCTTCCTACGCTGGGATCCCACCCCAAACAACATAAAGCAAATAACCGATAATCTTCTTATAAAAGCAGCATAGATTAACAATTCGATACCTCCAATTCTACATCACATAACACAGCAAAATATATCATTTCTGACATCTACAGAAAAAGAGTTACAACTTTCTTTTAGATAACAAAATTGAATTCTTCCATTTAGCTGGCCTAAAATATGGCACAAAACAGAGAAGTGCATCTGCCCAGAAAACTGTGCAACAACCATTCAAAAGAGCACTGACAACAAACTACAAGATAAAAGCTAACAATTTTTATGTAGGAGGTAGATCACAACATATGCTACAACTTCTGTAAAAACAAGATTCTCTGATTCCATCATTAAGATCCTCTAAAATCCCTCTGAACCTCGACTACAGAAAAATGCATCTATATTCAGACAGCCAAATTCAGAAATTGATATCTCCTAAACCACTTGATATAAACTCATGCCATTTGGTCAGAAGATAGATCTACACGTTATCTACAACTTTTGTATATACACTTTTCGCAGGAAATCCCATTATGATGGCCGAAAAGGCATCCAAACCAGAACTGTGCAGGGGACAGATCAGCAAAAACCTGGCTGAGGAATAAATCGGTTGATCCCAAACTTACTCGCTTCCAACACTTGATCTAAACCCTAATAGAAAACCAAAACAGGGGGAAAAGATCATGTATTAGATACCTAAGCCTCCATGGGCAACGGCAACCAAAACGCCTCATTTCCTTCTTCACCTCAATTCCCTCCGCTTCCTTCTTTCCCTTTCTTCTTCTTCCCTTCTTCTTCCTAGGTCTGCAGTAGGGCAGGCATGGGGAAGGTCGACCAGAGGGGGAGGTGGGCGCCCCCAGGGTACCAAATGACGGCTATGGGGAGGTGGGGGGCACCTCCTAGGGTTTTGGGATGTGGAGGGGGCAGCTGGGCCTTGGGCTGGCCATAAGCTAGCCCAGCTAGCATATACCTATTGTTTTTCTTCTAATTTCAAACACCAAAACCTTACGGACTTCCAATATATCCTCTACGGTATTCTATTTTTTCTAGGGCATTACAACTTCTCTATGCCCTTTAAAACATCCAACAAGGGCTAGCATGCTAACTGGTTCTACACCCAAAATCCTAATCCGGCGCTGCCGAGTACTCATGCCTCCCTCCAAAATATGAAGAGACCTAGAATTCGCTCCCAAAGGGCGATGAGGCTGCCCAAGCTCTTGAGCTATTGGATCGTCTTTTGAAACTGAAGGAACAGGGTCTCCAAGGGTAACAGATCACTCGGCACTTCATCAAGTGCCGACTGGCTCCTATTAAAGAGAGGTCTCGCACGGCCTTCAAATATGAAGGGAAGAATGACCCCAATCGAGAAGACCCCGACTCCCTGGAATTCAAATTTATGAAGGAGGGGATGTATAAAATTTTCTCATCTGGCATAGTGGTCAGCTTCTCGCATCAATTGCCATCGGTGCCGTATAACGCCTTCAACCCTCCTCTAGCGGTAAGTAACAAAATGCTTGAATCTTTATCATTCTTGTCAGTTCTTGAAAATAAACTTTGAACTGTTATCTTCAGGAGCTGATCCTCCAACTGCCCAACGTCGATCTCCACGGTGTCCTCAAGGCCAAGCTACCGGGGGCCCGAAGATCCAACCCGGTACGCAGAAGAGTAGCGCAAGGCCGACTGATCAGGCGGGCTCTAGAAAGAGGAAAATGATTTACGATGATGACAATGACGCCAGCAACAAGGAGACGACTGGAAAATAGCCTAAGAAAGCCATTCCGCCAAAGAAGAAAACAACCAGTCGTCCAATGCCAATGATCCGAAAGTCTTCTAGGTATGAACTCGCCATGATATTCATAAATATATCTTCCGAAATCAATTGGTGATGTCTTCTCAAACTTCAGGAAACCATCGGACATTGATTCGACTGGTAAGAGCTCCGAGCTAGCTGCCAACTCGGAAACAGCTAGAGAAAAGACTGGTTCTGCCGCTGCTACTAGGACCGAACCCTTCAAAGAAGACCATCCGATTGGCAGTCAGTCGGCCACCGGTGAAGCTGAGACTAGCGACGAGCCCCCGACTGGAAACCAGTCGGCATCTGCCGAGACAAGCACAAACCAGGAGCCCCTGACTGGAAACCAGCCGGGTGAAGATACAGAGAACCCCGAGCAGCCAAATAAAGACATCCCTGAGACAGAAGGGCAAGCAAGCAGTCCTCCCTTGAACCAAGATGCTGATGCTGGACCTGAAGCAAGCACTTTCGATAAGGTAGAAGGACCTGCACGGCCACCACCAAGGATTATCACAGGTAATACTCTTCCTAGTGGATTTATATTTGGAAAAATCTTCCATTGCAGTTTCATTGTTTTTCATATAAATAAAGGCCCAATGATCAGCGACGAAGAGGAAATTCTTCGGATTCGATCAGCTGAAGATTCTCGACCGCCTATTTTAGTTAAATGGTGGGACGACGAGATGCAGCCGCAGGGCATTGTGATCAATAAGCCGCTAGAAGACGAGGAAGTGTCTTTACTGACAAAGACTCTTAACCAGGCCACTCGTCTGGCAAATGTAATTATCCGATCTTTAGTCTTACTCATCCAATCGGTGAATTTGTTGAGATGAATCATTATATGCAGAGAATCCATCTTTGGAACGAGGCGAAAACCGCGACCCTTGAGAAGCTTGTTCCTCATCTTGGAACTCTGGAAGAAACCAGAGATAAACTGCACGAAACCAAGAAGGAGGCCAGGAGAACAGAACATACACTTAGGGACCGGATCGCCGAGCTCCAAGAAGCCAATTTTGAACTGAGTGGTTCTTCAAAAGGTAACTCTATTTCTGCTCAACTCATTCTGACTTGACTCAGTGACTAAATAGACATTGTCCATGTTATAGTCCAAGCTGCCAAAATTGTCGAGCTGGAAAGGCAAGTTAGTATCTGGTAGTTTAGACGTGGTGTCTAGATTACGGGATATCATTATTTGGGGTTATATATTGCGGATGAGAGGTGGGCCGCTGATGGTGACAGCTCAGTACGGGTATTCCTCTGCGCCTATATATAATCCTAAGTTAATTCCTTGGGGAGGGTATTCCTCCGTATTTAGCCCCGGTTATATGGTCATGACGGGCTGTCGTAAGGAACTCGGCAGTCAGGGGTGGCTTCTCGAAGTATCAGGAGGGCATCGGATAAAGGGTATTAGCTAGTATATCAGTTAACTAGAATATATGTATACTATGTATACTAGAAGTATAAGAATGAGTTGTTAATTCTTGTGTGTCACTCTACCCTTGAATTATCTTAGCCCCTGCTTAGAATATGATTATGACAAGTAATATATAAATTATTAGTGGAGTTCTCTCTACATGATCTTCCCACTTGATAAAATAAATACGATACCCTTGGAATACTCTCGGGTGGAAAGCTACAATGGTATATTCGTGCGCTTACAGATAATCTCTGTAACTATAATAAACCAGAAGTATTTCTGGCGCCATTTCTGGGAATTATATTTCTAGTAATGTCGTTAAGAAATACCAACAAGCATTTCTGGCGCCGTTACCGGGGAAGATTCATAATAGAGATTTCTTGAACTAATACTTTATATTTACCTCTGTATAATCATTTCCTTTGCAGGCTAACCTTGGTTGTTTTCACTGTTGTTGTGGAAACAGGGTAGTGCATGACTGGTTTCAACCTGCCGGAAAACTTCAAAGAAAATCCAGAAGCTTTCTTCCAGAGCGTCAGGCAACGAGTCGTTGCTCCGCAGAAAGCTCTACCGACAGAGAAACCAGTCGTACCAGCGCCACCAACCTTCAAGACTATGGCCAGCAAGACTCCGCGAGTTCGCTGCTCCCTCTGCTGACAATGTGGCCATTGGGCCGCAGGTCAACATAGGGGACGTGGATTTCGACTTGAAGTCCAGCCTTATCACGATGGCGCAGGCTAGCCCGTTCTGTGGCAAGCCTAATGAGGATGCCAATGCTCATCTGCAATAGTTCCTGGAGATTTGTAGCACGTACACCATCAAGGGCGTCAGCCCCGACGCCGTCAGGCTACGGCTATTTCCGTTCTTCCTCCTCGGGAGAGCGATGCAGTGGTTCTATACCAACCGTGCTGCTATCAACACCTAGGACAAATGCCCCATGGCATTCCTCTTGAAATTCTTCCCGATGGGCAAAACCAATGCTCTTCGTGGAAGGATTTCCAGTTTCTAGCAGACAAGGGATGAGTCTATTCCGGAAGCATGGGAGCGTCTGCAGGAATATGTGGCCGCCTGTCCTCATCATGGGATGGACGACTGGCTGATCCTGCAGAATTTTTGCAATAGACTCACCCCAATGTCCCGCAATCACCTGGACGCGGCATCTGGAGGAGCTTTCTTCTCTAAAATGGTTCAAGGAGCCGTTGAACTCATAGAGAGGATGGTCTCCAATATGGGTTGGAGCGAAGAACGACTCCAAACCCGTCAGCGAGGCATGCACATCGTCAAGGAGATGGAACTGCTTGCTGCCAAGTTGGACCTCCTCATGAAACGTTTGGACAACCACGAGAAAAGGCCACAAGGCACCGTCAAGGCCTTGGACTCACACGTCACGTGTGAGGTCTGCAGTGGCACATGTCATTCTGGGAATGACTACCCAGAAACCCGTGAGGAGGCAATGTACATGGGAACAACAACGGGTACCACAAGGAAGTCAGGGGTGGAACCAACCACGCCCATATTATAAAGGAGGTAACAATAACGGTAACATCTCCAACCAGCCCTCCTTGAAGGATCTTGTTTTTGCGCAAGCTAAAACTACTGATTCGTTAAGCAAAAAGCTTGCTGCCAATGATAAGGTCCTGGAAAACATAAATGTCAAATTAGATGGCTTTGCTTCCGCATTTCAAAATTAGCTGAGCTTTAATAAAATGATAGAAACCCAGTTAGCTCAGTTGGCATCTTTAGTCCCTGCAAATGAAACTGGGAAGATCCCGGGGCAACCCGACTCCTCCATTGAAAATGTTAAGGCGATCACGACGAGGGGAGTTAAATCCACTCGTGATCTGCCGTATCCTAACCCTGCAGGAAGTGAAAGGATGTCAAAAGAAGCGCCATCTAGTGACTCGGCTGACAAAGAGGTTCAGCCAGAAAAGACCGTGCCGCAGGAGTACTGTGACACACGGTTGAAGCCATTCCCTCAGTGGAGTAGGAAACCGTCAGTGGACGAGCAGTTCGCTTGTTTTGTTGAAGTAATCCAGAAGATTCACATCAACGTGCCGTTGTTGGACGCTATGCAAGTGCCGACATACGCCCGTTATCTCAAGGACATACTCAACAACAAGAGACCGCTCCCAACAACGGAGGTGGTCAAGCTGATGGAACAATGCTGCAACCTAATACTCCACAAGCTCCCGGAGAAGAAGAAAGATCCGGGGTGTCCTACGATCACCTGTTCGATTGGGGCACAACAATTCGACCAGGCCTTGTGCGACCTTGGAGCCAGTGTCAGCGTCATGCCAAAAGACGTTTTCGACAAACTTAACATCACGATGTTGTCACCGACACCGATGCGCCTCCAACTGGCTGACTCGTCAGTCCGTTACCCGGCAGGGATAGCGCAGGATGTGCCAGTCAAGATAAAGGATTTTTTCATTCCGGTTGACTTTGTGGTGCTGGACATGGACACAGGGAAGGAGACGCCGCTCATCCTAGTGCGTCCGTTCCTTAGCACCACAGGAGCCAACATTGACGTGGGAACGGGGAGTATCCGTTTCCATATCAACGGGAAGGAGGAAAGGTTTGAGTTTCAACCGAGGACGGAACAATGCTCCATGGTTAGAATCAAGTACGGGCCAAACCCGCAGAATATTCAAGTGGTCGAAGTGGAGCGACCCAAAACGGATAGCCTGGTGGAATTCATGCAAAA